CCCACCCCAGGCTGGGCAGAGGCGGCCCTTCTGGCGGGAAGTGGTGGACAGAGACCGTCCCCCGACTGGGCAGCCGACTCCGCCCAGGGGCGAGCACCCCAGAGAGGCAGAAAGCGGGGAGAGGAGGCCACGGCCGAGGCCACTGCTGACACAGAGAGAATTCTTTTTTCTTTGCTGGACTGGGGATGGAACCCAGGGCCTTGACATTGAGCTACATCCCCAGATGTTTTTATTTTTATTTATTTGTTTTTGCTTTTTTGAGACAGGGTCTCACTACGTAATTGAGACTGACCTGGAACTCACTATGTAGCCCAGGCTGGTCTGGAACTCACAGCGATCCTACTGCCGCAGCCTCCCGAGGGCTGGGATGACAGGTGTGCGCCACCACGCCCAAGATGTTTTTATTTTTTATTCTAAGACTGTCTCCTCCCTCACTCACTAAGGTGTACTACAAAATAGGTTTCTCTCCTTCTCTTTGTCCTCCTCCTCCTCCTTCTCTGGTACTGAGGCTCCAACCCAGGGCGGGGGCCTCTAACACCAAGCTACATCTCCAGCCCTCTTTATTTTGAGGTCACTAAATTTGACCTCAAACTTTCAAACCCTCCTGCCTCAGCCTCCCAAGCAGTTGGGACCACAGGCCTGTGCCCCACAACGGCAGCATTTGCTTCTGCGGGTGCTGAAGTCACTTTCACAGCCTGCTGTCTTCTAAGGCTCTGGCCACGGATGTACCCTAACTTCTCTGGAGCTGCTTTCACCGCTCCTCGCCCTTGTGTTTCTAGTTGCCCTGGAAACACCGTTTTCCCGGTGCCCCTTTTCCTCTAACAGTGAGGTCTTTCCCGGACTCTGTCGCAGCATGTGGCGTTTGTTTTCAGGAACTTGGCGCAGACTCCTGGTGCACAGGGCGTGGTCTCCCTCCGCCTCCACACGAACCCCGCCTCCCCCACGACCACCCCGTCCAGGTCCCCACTAGACGTCTTGGGGGCACCTGGCCTCCCCCAGGCTTTGGGCAGAGTGGACCTGTGCCCAGCAGGGAAGCAGCGGACACCAGGTCCGTGGCCCAGGCCTGCCCCGGAGCGTTCAGGGGTCTTACAGGCAGGGTCACCGCGTCTGCAGGAGACTCTGGCCTCTCCCGGACCAGCGGGTGCCTCCATCCCACGGCCTCTGCCCCCTTCTGTATGCGGGTGAGAACCCCAAACTCTGGAGAGGGCTTGAGTTTCTCCTTCGATGTCCAGGCAGGTACACACACGCACACACGCAGGCACACACACGCACACGTAAAGGAGCAACCGGAAACTAGCAAGTCTGGCCACGCACTTCTGCCCCACTGCAGCTTCCTCATTGACCCAGGAGGCTGCAGAGCAGAGGCTGCCACAGGAAGAAAGACAACAGCCTGGCCGGTGACCTGCACCTATTCAGCACTCTAGGAGGCTGAGGCAGGAGGAGCCCAAGTTCAAACCCAGCCTGAGCAATTTAGTGACTGAGTGAGATCCTATCTCAAAATAAAAAAATCAAACTTAAAGAGAGCTGGGGAAAGGTCGGAGGTGGGGCAGGAGCACAGAACCTGCCTGGCAAGCTCTAGGCCCTGAGTTCGACTCCGGTACCAAAAAAAAAAAAAGCGGGCTGGGGAAGGAGCTCAGTGCAAAGACCCTGGGTCCAAGCCCAATACCATAAATAAATGACCTAGGGATATAAATTCACAGCTGCACAGCCCTGGGCTTGATCCTTGGTATAAAAGAAGAAAAAGGAAAGGCCCAAGGGCAGGCTGGTCCCCCGGGAGGTGGTGTGGGCCCAGCCACCGCCCTTCTCACCCCAGATCTGGCGGCCCCAGCTGTCCCCGGCCAAGTCTTAGCAGAGAGCAGCCGCTCCGCTCGGGTGCGGGCCGGGAGCCCACTCACCTTCTGCCACGGTGCGGCTGTCGCCCGCCTGCCTGCAGTGCGGTGCGTGGAGGACAGCTAGGCCCCTTTTATGTGGTGCGGGCCGGCTGGCTGCCAAGGGGCATGTGGCCGGGGGCGATAAACCCCGTGAGCGGCTGACCACGCCCTCAGGGCCCAGGGACAGCACCTTGCCTCTCAGCGACCCCCATGCGGCCACGTCCTGCCACCGCCTCGAAGGCTTTCTTCTGTTCTGGCGCTAAGAAAGCGAGGCCCACGCCGATTTGCCTTCTACTCTGCACACACAAAGCTTCCCCCTGGCCACCCCCGCAGGGCCCCTTGCCGGTGTCCCTTCCCTCTCCCCAGAGTGACCAGTGTGGTCCCAGGCCCTCCCCGACTTCCACCAGAGGCGCGGGGCAGGGTGGGCCAGCCCGAGCCTCGGGAGCGGTGGGTCTGGATTTGGGGTTTCCCGAGCGGGGGCGACTGGCCAGGGCTCCTCACAGCCGCACAGGAGCTCGGGGCACTGGGCCCTTCGCTGAGCCGCAGAGCTGTGGGACTCATGAAGGAACATTGTGCCCAGGCCGGCTCCTTGTGACAGGGAGACCACGGGCCTTCGGGAAGATGGTGGGGCTGGCAGGCACCCTCTGCTCTCTCTCCCCATCCACTGTGGGGCTTTGGAGTCCAGGCTGGCCTCGAACTCATGAGATGTCTCCTGCCTCAGCCTCCCGAGTACTGGGATTACAGGCGCACACCACCACAAACCAGCCGCGTGTGGTTTTTAAAAATGATGTTCATTTTGCTGAAAGGCACCAGCCTGGCCCAGCAGCACAAGGTCCAGAGCAGGAGTGGGTTCCAACAGCAGCCCTAGCATTGCAGCGCTGTGCTGAGTGGGACAGCATTGAACGGTGACAGCCAGGAGCTTCAGGAGCAGGGTATGGCCGGGTCACTCTGGGGGCCATGTCCCGGGACGAAAGTCAGCCCTGCTCCCCAGACACCGGCACACAGGCCCTAAAAGTCAGGCTCCGTGGTGCAGTTCCAGCACTTGGAAGGCTGAGGTGGGACAGTCATGAGTTCAAGGCCCGCCTGAGATGAAGGGAGGAAAGAAACAGAAGTGGGCGGGAAGGGTGGAGAAGGAGGAGGAAGAAGGGAACGAAAGTTGAGCACGCAGCACCCAGGAGGGAAGAGCCCCGGCTTTGGGGTCCAGAGATGAAGGGACAGCTTACTTTGCTCCCAGTTTCTCTTGTGCCATCAGAATTTAGCACCTTGTGAAAATTAAATTCACAGATCAAAACCGAGAAGCACAGTCTAGGAGGCAGGGAGCAGCCAGGGCTTGGCCAGGCCCAGGGGACACAGAAGGGTCCCAGGGGAACAGGCCCTGGGCCACAGCCCCTGTGGCCGCCATGTGAGGCCCGTCCCTCTCAGGGCCTCAGTTTCCCCACCTGGAGAGCAGGCCCGGCGAAGAACCTCGGGTGGCCAGGGCTGCAGTCCCACTAGCAGGCCGGTGCTGGCCCTGGTGCCGGGGTCACCGGCTGCCCACACAAGCCCCTCGCTCGCTGTGCTCACCGAGGAGCCAGAGCTCCACATGCGCCCCTGGAAACGCAACATGGACCGCACCTTCGGGGACGCAGGGGAGGGAGACAGCTCGGGGTAAGAAAGGCAGGGCGCCAGGACCCCAGGGAGGAGGGGCAGAGGGACGGGCTCTTGGGTGGCCCAGGAAGGGGACAGAGTCCCTGGGCAACTCGGGCCCGCAGGTGGGCTGGGGCCCTGAGAACAGAAGGGCTCAGGTGCAGCAGTGCCAAAGCCGGGCCACCTCGCCGGGCCACAGGGAGACCGGGTGGGGGAGCTGGAGCCCCGCACCCCAGGTCCTGGGGAGGGAAGTGACGGCGGCCTGGGCAGCTGTCCTGGCGCCACTTGGCTGCCCGGCGCCAGGCTCTGCACCTCAGCCATAAAGATGCCGAGTGATACCCACTTTTACTGTGGAGCCGGGGAGGCACAGGCCTGCAGGCAACGGCTCCCTCCTGACCTCGTGCTGTCCACCTCAGCACACGAGCAAACAGCTTTACAGGACGAGGTCAAGGATCTCATAAACCGAGGTTCCCCTCCCCTGGGGGTTGTAGCCACCAGCGGGGCCCAGGCCACCCACTGTGCCCAGCTCCTCTGGCCAGCTGGGGAACCGTGGGGAAACTGAGCCCTCTAACCCCTCTCCCGGACGTGCGTGGCTCCGGAATTCGCAGCAACAGTTATCTGGCCAGCACAGCCTGGGGCCCACACTGTAGCCACGCATCCCCCACATCCTGGTCCCGTTCACGGCACGCCTTACGCAGCTCCAAGGATCAAGGGCGTCATCGGCCAGAGAGGACAGCAGAGTCCCTGCACAGCCACATGGGAGCGATGTCTTCAGGTCCAGCGACGTCCAGCTCACCCAGTTTTTGGTCCCTGGGCACTGCTCCCCCAGGTGCCTCCAGGCGCCTACCACGCCCAGGCCACAGCCCGCACAGAGGGGTGCAGGAGGCACTGTCCATCGCTGGCCAGCAGGGCCGCACCCCTGCCCTCCCTGGGGCCAGCACAGGTCCTCTGTGAGGTGGGTCTGCAGGGACAGAAAGTTCAGGCCCCAGCCCGCCCAGAAAGGCAGCCCACTCGTTGGGGACCACGGGCTGTTGTGAATGACGCTGAAGTGAACAGGGCCTGTTCACTTCCCGGATAAAAGCCCCGGGGGTTGCAGGTTCGGGTGATGATTACACATTTCACCTTTCGTGGAACCGCCAGGCTCTGCTCTTCGCAGCAGCTGAACTGGTTCAGCCCCACCAGCAACATACAGGGTTCTGATTTCTCCAACCTCATCAACGCTTGTTTTTGTATTTTGTTTTTAGAGACAGGATCTTGCTATGCAGCCCAGGCTGGCCTAGAACTCACAGCCATTCCCCACGCCTCAGCCTCCCCAAGTGCTGGGATGACAGGTGTGCACCACCACACCTGGCAGCAATAGATTGTAATTTTCAGTGCAGAACTGGTTTGAACCCTTGGTCAAACATTTTCTAAGTATTTATTAATTTTGAAACTACTGTAAAATTTCTTTCTCAGACTAAAAGTGCTCATTAGTATACAGACATATAACTGGTATTTTTGTATTGATTTTGCATCCTGCAACTTTGCTGCATTTATTAATTCTAACATTTTTAGGACTTTTGAGACAGGGTCTCGCTCTGCAGTTCAGGCTGGCCTGGAGTTTATGGAATTGTCCTGCCTTAGCCTCCTGAGTGCTGGGATTATAGGCGTGTACCACCACGCCTGGTTTAGGAATCCTTACATTTTCTACATATAAAACATCATTTGTGAAAAGCGATCATTTTAGTTTTCTTTTCAGTAGGTGTCTTCTTTTTCTGGACCAGTCACTCTGGTACCACATGGAATACAAGGGCCCAAAGCAGGCCTGCTGGGATTCTGAGCTGGGTGCTTTGGTTCCCACCCCGAATGTGATGCTAGCAGGTGCTTTCGTGTTGTGTGTACCACGGTGAGGTGGTGTCCTTATGCTTTAAAGGTTTTTTAATCACAAAAAGAGCTGAACTTTATCAAAGTCTTTTTTAAAATGTTTAATGACTTAAGATAATCCACCACCCCTTCTGGGATTGAATCCAACCAGATGTTGCCCCCACCACTCCCAAGCGGCTCATGGCAGCCAGGTGTACAGGTACACACCGGTCATCTCAGCACGCTGGGAGGCTGAAGCAGGAGGATTCCAACTCTGAGCTCAACAGGGCAACTTAGAAAGACCCTGTCTCAAAATAATTTTATTTTAGGGTCTCCCATCAGCTTAGTATTGAGTCATATTTTACAGATCATAAAATTCACCTATTTAAAATATACAATTCAATGTTTGCAGTATCTTTACTGAGTGTCTCAGTCACCTCCGTGCTCGGCTGGGACATTTCATTCTCCGGTGAGATCCCTCCTACCCCTCTGCAGTTGTAGTTCCCACAGCTGGTCCCCACTGCCGCCACAGCCCAGGTGACACCTAACCTACTAGTTTCAGATTCTCTGGACAGTACAGTTGCCTTACTGGGCATCGAAATAATACTTTTTTTAAACAAAGTGTTGGGTATGTAGCTCAGAACCCAAAGATGAAGGCCACGGGATCAACCCTCAGTACCAAAAATGAAAAATAAGAAATAATTTCAAAATGGGCAAAGGCTCCTACAGTGGCTCAACTTTCCGCTCTCGGCTGCTGTGCTGGAACAGGGCAGTGTCGGCAGAAGAGGGGACGTGGTCTCAGGCTGCCCCTGGCCCTCGAAGGGCTCAGCCTTGGCTCCTCCCTGCAGGGTTAATGGCGCTGTGGCCAGGACGCCAGGATGCAGAACCGAGAGGGGGCATGGGTGGGAGAACCTAGTTCTGCTCCCTCCTCTTCCCCAGCACTGGCCCAATTTCCTGACCCATGCTGGGCAGGACCCAGACTCCTGCCTTCCTCCAGACCAGCGCATCTCCAAACACTTACGGGGCATGGGATCACCCCAGCCCCAGGTTCTGGCAGAGACTGAAACTAAAGCATCACTTTAAAAAGATCCCCAATCCTACATTTTTAAAAAATGGACAGAGCCAGGGATTTAGCTCAGTGGTTCCACCACCTGCCTCAAAAGCACAAGGTCCCGAGTTTAATCCCTGGTGCCAAAAATAAAAAATAAAAAAATAAAAAAGGTGTATGAATGTCCGAAGAGCACAAAAAACATCAGCCTTTACGCAAACACAAACTGAAACCACAGCACGACACAGCCAGGTGGCTGCAGAAGAAAGGGTGGCAGCTGTGTGGGCAGGGAGTGGAGAAATGGACCCTTATTCACCCTTGGACAGTGGGGAATGTGCGGCTACTTTGCAGAGCCGTGGAGTTCCTCAAGGAGGTGAACAGAAGAGTCAGCACATGGCCAGCAACTCCACTGCTAAATAATCACCCGGTGGGACCAAAATCCACATGCAAAAACTCTGCAGGGCAACAGTCATCGCAGTATTTTTTTTTCCTAGTATGAGAATCGAACTCAGGACCTTGCACTTGCCAGGCTAAATCCCCAGCTTCACAGCATTATTTATAACAGCCCTAAAGCAGAAATACCCAGACGCCCATCACTTGACCAATGGGCACAGCAATCCGGTGTAGCCACACCACGGAATATCACTAATGCATGGGAAGGGGTCACGGTCTGCGCCTTTGGAGAAAACCAGGCCACGCAGCATGCAGCCCATATGCAATGTGCAGGGCAGGCAAAGCCAGGGCAGATGGAGGAGACAGGATGGCAGGCAGGAGGGAGGAGCAGACGGAGTAAATGTGCTGGAATTAGATAGTGATCACGGTTGAAAATCTCATGATGCTACCACACACAAAAAAAAAAAGTTGTATACTTTTAAAAAGAGATAGGTAAAATAAAAAATAAGAACAAAAACCCAGTGTCTGCCCAGTCAGGATCTGGCTGGAGGAAGCGATGTCAAACTGCCAGGCCCAGCACAAACAAACCAAACTCGACCCACCACCCAGGTGCCCCGCATTATGTAGTTCAGGTGGGCCTTGAATCACAGAAATCCTCCTGCCTTAGCATCCCAAATGCTGGCATTACAGGTGTGTACCACCATGCATGGCCACCCAGGTGTACTCATTAAATCAGGTGTGGCCGTCAGCCATCTCTGTGTCCTGTGTGGACAGAAGGCCAGGTCCCCTCATGACTTCCTCCTGTCCCTGTCACTGCCGCCCAGGGCGGCCCTACTTCTGCCTCAGCTCCGTCCTGTGCCTGCCCCGCGTGACCCAAGCCACAGGGCCGTGGGTACCTTTCCCTTCCTTGCTGCTGCGACAGTGGGTGACTGGCTCGGGGATGGGGCAGGGGCTCTTGAGGAAGGTGAGAGTGGCCGTTGACAAGAGGGTCCGCAGGCTCTGGGCTTCAGGAAGGCAGCTGTGGGCCGAGCCCCAGGGTCAGACACGCAGGAGGGAAGGGCACCCAGGAGTGCACCCAGCTCTCTAGGCTCCTTCTGCCCTGCACCCACAGGGAAGGGGCAGAGATGGCGAGAAGCTGGGGCTCCAGGGACCCTCGGACCCCGCATTGTGGCCAAGAGGCGCCAGACGCCAAGCAACCAGTGCCCTGGGACGGAGGAGCCGAGGAGCCAGAGGCCTCATGGAGCTGCAGGCTCCGGGCCACTTTCACTTCCCAGAGGACAGAACAAGGGCGGAGGCGAGGCCGACTTCCTCCCCGAGAAGGACAGAGGCCCCAGTGAGCACAGCAGCACCCACCCTGGCAACAGCTCTCAGCCGCCAACACCAAAGGGAGCGAAGGGAGCTTCCACACCTGGTGGCTTTAACGTACAAAAAATATTTATTAGCCCAGGTTTCCTCATCTTGCTTAACACACACGGGAAGTTGGGAAGCCCCGGGGAGCAACGTGTGCCAGGAACGTGGTGTGGGGCCGGCCCTGTCATTCCAGCGTGGTCTGTGGAGTACACGTGGCCCGGAAACCCCGACCTCTGCATCTGCAGGGCACCCCGTGGCGGCTGGCCCGGGTCAAGAATCAAAGCACTGCACAGACGCTGCAGGCGCTCTGGGATCGCTGGAGGTCAGGGCCTGGTCGCTCGGGAGCACGGACGGCTAGAAGGCCCGGCTGGCCTGGCACCTCCCTCGGTGACGGTCAGCAGGCTGCACACCCAGGCCGCCCAGAAGCAGGCACACAGGACACACCCGCCCGAGGTGGGCACCACTGTCAGCTCTGGCCAAGCGCCAAGCGGTGTCACTGCTGCTTGTGCACCACGGGCTTCCAGACGGGCGGCATCTTCCTGTGGACCAGGGTGAGCCCGCAGAGGATGAGGAACACGCCGCCCCACCACAGCACCTCCTGGCACTCACCATACAGCGTGAAGCCCAGCAAGGCCTGCGGGCAGAGCAGGGACCTTGTCAGGGCCCTACCGGCTCCCGCAGCCAGCTCCAGGACCGGGGCGCGGGTCTGCAGCCAGAAGCTGGGGCTCCACGCCCTCCCTCCCAACTCCGGACCCCAGAAGACACCCAGGCTCAGGGGCCTTCAGGAAGAGGCTCCACCTGCAGGGGCAGCAAGCAGGTGGGCTTTTCCCAGTCAAGCTTCACCCCCACCTCCCGAGAAGTCGTCCGCGCTTAACTGCTGTGACTGGAGTAGCGGCTGGGCATCCATTGAGCCTGACCCAACCTCCGAGTCTGGGAGAGCAGGGGCTCAAGGCCAAGTCAGGGCAGGTTTAGGGCATGGCACCATGCCCTCAGGTACTCACCGAGCTCAGGATGTTGGAAAAGGTCACTGTGACCGACGCAATGGCTGACGACATGGAGAAACTGAGGCCCCGGCTGAAGAAGGTCCACATCAGAGAGTTGGCACTGAACATCACAACAATGCTTATGACACACAACCCCACGTGGACCTGCAGGAGAAAGCGCCACTGCGGCCACCCTCACAGGACACCCGTCCAGACCCCGGCAGCCTCAGAGCCTCCTGTGCGGGGCTCCCATAATTGCAGCAGAACCACCTAGAGGAAATGGACTCAGGAAGACCTGACCCTGGCTGGCCCTGCGGCCTGGGGCAGAAGCAAAACGCTAACCCAGAACAGCATTTCCGGGGAGCACAAGTCCCTGTCTGCTCAGTGCCAGAGCTGGGGGCCCAGGCCAGGCGGTGTGCAGCTCCAGCCAGGGGTGGGGCCTCACTTCTGGACCAGGCAGAGCACGGCAGGGGTCTCCCCAACCCAGTCTGTGCAGGCTGTACCCCTAATGTAGCCCTCAGGGCCCCATGGGCTCCTTGGTGCCATATACTCAATGCATTCTAGTTTTTCCGTTTCACAGATGAACTGGAGACATTGTCAATTCCCTCAAGTGCCAAACTAGACACCGCCGGGATTCAAACCTGGGCAGGGCACGAGTTGCAGCTCAGTGGCACTGCGCCTGCCTGGTAAGTGGGAGGTCCTGACTTTGATCCCTGATACCAAAAGAAAAAAAAAAACAAAACCTGGGCATCATGGCTCAAGCTCCTCGCTGGGCCCCAGCCCTGCCTGGGGATGCCCCACCTGGGCCACATGGCTAGTCCTCTCGGGCACCTCTGGGAGAAGCTGCAGCAAATGTTTTACTTCGTTCTCTCCTGGGTTTTTTTGTGTTTGTTTTTTGTACCAGGGATTGAACACGGGCAGGGATTGAACTCAGGCCCTTGGGCTTGTGAGGCAGGTGCTGGAACCACTGAGCTAAACCCCCAGCCCTCTCCTGGGTTTTTGGTTTTTAATGGTAGAAAACTCTGGGAGAGGAAAGGATCTTTAGAAGCCCCCTGCACAAACTATGCAGAGCTTGTCTGGCTGTGAGTGAGGAACCCACCAGTAGGCCTGGCTATTTCCCTCAAGGTTGGACCCAGCCACTCATTTTTTTTTTTTTTTTTTAGAAACAAGGTCTCACTATGTCTTGTCCAGGCCGGGCTTTAACCCACTATGTACCCCAGGCTGGCTTCAAACTCACGGTGATCCTCCTGCCTCAGCCTACTGACTGCTGGGATTACACTACAGGTGTGCATCACCACACCCAGCACCATACTTACTTCTTGTCAAGTTTCCAGCAGCTGAATACCAAGTGTCTTGACAGTGGGGGGCCTTCCCGTAATTTACACAAAGGCGTCCTATAGGCCAGTGGCGCCTCTCCCATAACAGGATTGTGAAAGCCAGATCGCAAACACAAAGACTAAGAAGTGAGAAACGCCATGGCTCACGGCCACTCATTTTACTCTGGCCCATGCACCCATGATCTACGCCCAACGGGTGCTAACTTCCAGCACGGCACCTCACTACATGTGCCCGAAACAGGATGGCACCTAAATAACGCCAGTCTCCTGCCCTGATCAGGGCGCAAGCCTGGGTTGCAGGGGCAGCGAGGGGCTTCTTGCAAGCAGGGATGGTGTGGTCCTGGGCTGAGAGGCTACAGCCGCACATGGAGGCCGCAGTTCGAGAATTCTCCTGCTAGGAAAGGTCGAAGACCCATCTTTCAGGCTTCCCTAGTGACCGGGTTACCCTGACAACCAATTTTCCGGGAAGCAGGTTGGATAGGTCAGAAGGCCCACGAATGACGCTGATGTCGGAGAAAAGAGACGGGCAACAGGTTTCTCACCTTCACAGTCAAGTGCAGAGAAAAGCTGAAGCTCATTTAAGGGTTTAAAATGGGAGGGAAGAGAAGGTGTCGACCTCCCGGGGAGAGAAGAGGCAGCACAGCGGGGCGGCGGGCGCCCG